AAATTGGCATCATAAAGTATCTTTGGGGTCGATAGCCTAGGCTTGTCTCAACTATGGGCCCATTTTCTCTAGACTTTTTCCGGTTTCAAATCTCTGAACAAAGAATGGTCAATTAATGCTTTTGCCAAAACATCCCGTATACCCTTGTCCATAGAAAAGGCCAACGAATAACCTATCTTGCTTTTGTGAATCTTGAGAAGACATTCGATAGCAGACAGGCGAGTAGCGTTCCCAGGAGAACAAGTGTTCTGTCTTTGTTACTCATATTATCATTTGCAAATCATTAAGAAATACGGAACACTCGTTCTCTCATGAACTGGGAAGAATAAGAACTTAGGGAGAGAACACCAATCAAATTCCAATCAGGAAAAAAAAAGCCAGACATATAACTGGAATTTCATATGCTAGCGATGGGAGGTCTATCCAAGAAACTAGATTGGCTTAGACTTGCTATAAATATAAATGGTAGACAATTAAATCATCTAAGGTTTGCCAATGACATCGAGCCTATCTTCAACAGTTTTGAAGAGCTAAAGTTAATGACTAGTCGGTTGGTTAGGGCATCGAAACCTATGAGGATATGAGGTTATCAAAGATGATGTCGAAGCGAAATTATCATTGAAAACCTGTCTTTGAAGAAATGGAGCAAATAGATCTAATACCTAGGACAGATACTGAAACTAAAGTAACCAAACGGCGGAAACTGCACCAAAAACATTGACAGATTTTGTTAAACACTTATAAATCCAAATCCAAAAGATTCCACTCTTCCTAAGAAGAAGAATAAGTTCTCGCCCTCAGGTCTCTTCATCCAACCTGTCTCCTGAAAATCTAAATATTTTTTTTTTGCTCTATAACTGGAGCTCTTTCGTCCCAGCTCGACTCCGGGATCAATCCCTTAGACTATTTGACAGATAGGAATGTCTCAAATTCCTTCTTCTTGGCATCAGTCGATGTTCCTAAGATCAAATAAACCCTTATATAAACATCAAAAACAAGAATTTTTGCAGCTATGATGACATATCCATTAAACTATTTTCTTATCTTTCTTAACAATAGGGGTTTTCGTAAGCTTGAACATGCATTAAATGATTCCTTTGACAAGGGTACCTATATTTCTTAATATCCTTAAGCATGCAGTGGTTGTACCTACCTCTTCAAGGGGGAGACTCAGGCTCTCCAGCAAACTTCCGTTCTATTTTTCTTTTCCCTTCACTTGGTAAGCTGATTGAGAAACTGGTCAAAATCAGAGTTCTTTCATTCCTCAACCTGAACAGGTCCCTCTCCGATAATCGATTTGGCTTTCAGTGTAGCGAAGGAACATCTGATACGATATACTACCTTGTGGAAGATATCTATTTGATTAGAAATGAGCAGCGGTGTTTTGTGACTTGTCGAAGGCTTTCGACTATGTCGATCATTTTGTGTTGCTCTATAAGCTTGAAGTGTATGGTTTTAGAGATGTGACTAGGCGTACTTAAGTGATCGTCAGCAAGTAGTTTCCTATGGGGGCGGGTTTTCAGATAGAATGAGCAATAACTGCGATGTCTTTTAGGGCTCTAGCTTTGGCTCACTTTTGTTCTCGATCTATATTAATGACCTATCCTCTTTTAGAGTCAGGGGAAATATAAGACTTTTCGCGACACCACCATTGTCTGGCTTGTGAACAGTGGAAAATTCTTGAAGCACATGGTGTATGGTGCAACAGCAACCATATATCCTTCAACATATTATCTAAGACCAATATGTTAAACTTCAAGTGATCATTATCCAATATCTCCTTATATGGTGGTTTTATTCATCCCATCGCCTGTGCTGAGTTTCTTCGAGTTACGAGGGCGAGAGTCTCAAGTTTGAACAGCATATTGTGGTACTCTCTAGTAGGTTATCGTCTAGCTGTTATGGTTTGCGAGTACTCTCAGAGCAGTTAGAGCTGCGAGCTCTCAGGACCGCATATTTTTCTCTGGTCATGTTACACAATACTTATGGAATTGCATTGTGGGGCTGTTGCAGTACTACGAATCTCAACTCCATATTTATTCAACAACAAAGAGCCCTTAGGCTTTTGCTTAGATTTTCCTTCTGACAATCTTGCAAATCTAGCTTTATTTCTCATAGAATTTTAACTCGAAAGTGAAGTGTTTGCCTGGTCCATAGGAAACACTATGACCAACTTTCTTCGCCAAGACAAAGAAAGCCTTCAATTTGCAAAGAAAGCCTTCAATATTCTACCATCTAGCGTTGGGTCTTCACGTTCATACGGGAGGTTTAGAAAGGGGGTAAGGGAGTTGACTAAGCTATAAGGTTGAAGATTTTTTTAGAGACACCTTGTGAACATATTTTCAACATAGGTAATAGTATATTACAATCCGAGACGGAAAATACTTCATTGCTGGTCGAGAGGTTATTATAGTTTATCGAGACGCGAAGCGTCGAGATAAACTCAACCTCGAGACAGAAATGAAGTTTTCCGTCGAGGTTTGTATACTTTTTTATTTTCAACCCTTAATTTTCTGATGCAAAAACTAAAGATTCTGTTATACGAAATTTTCATATAGTGTAAAACTGGCCTTAGAAAAAAATATTTCACTTTTTTTGTCAATGTCATCAATTTTGACGATCTCAAAGGCCCTGTAAAGGCCAAAACAAAAGACGAAACCACAGGAAACCGCAAAATCAACAACCATAGATAAGATCAACAACGCCTTAACGACGGTAGTTTTCGCTCAGTATTTTTGCGGAAATAATAGATTTTCACTAGATTTCTCCCCGTTCTCCCCAAAGAAATGATTTCGGAAAGTGAAGATGAAGCGATGGATTGTACCCCACCTGAATTAAAAGAAGCAGCAGACAGGATTGGAGAGAGTTTGCTTCCAGCAAAAAGCAAATTTCGGTACGAAAAGGCTTTTCAAATATTCGAAGCATGGTGTAGCCAGAAAGGAACGAGAAATACTGCCTCGGAGACCGTTTTGTTGGCGTATTTTGGCGAATTATCTAAGGAAAAGAAGCCTTCGACTTTATGGTCGACTTACAGTATGTTGAAAACCATGATTAAATTGAAAGAGAAAGTTGATATCTCCAATTACGCAAAACTTATAGCTTTTTTGAAGCGGCAAAATCTGGGCTTTCAGCCGAAAAAGTCGAGCGTTTTTTCCAGAGAAAACATTAACGAGTTCCTCACGAAGGCAGCTGAAGAATTCATTAGCATCAAGGTAGGTTTTCAAAAAATATACAAAGAAGATAAAAATGCGAAAATCAAAATGATTTTCTGTATGCTATAGCTAGGTTACCCATTTTATTTTTATCTGGTTTCAGGTAGCGCTAATTGTTGGTGTGTCGGGTGCATGTAGGAGCGATGAACTAGTCAAGATGAAAATGGAGCACGTCAACGTTTTGGAAGGAAAGATCGCTATAGAAATTCCACACACAAAAACTTACACAAGTCGATCGTTTATCATAAGCGATCCAGATTGGGTTGCTATTTTCCACAAATACCTCACTTTGCGGAAAAATTTGAAAAATGACAGGTTATTTGTTCAATGGCGAAATGGGAAATTACATAACCAAGCAATTGGCTATCATTCAATCTCAAAATTTCCACATAAAATAGCTGCTTTTTTGAAGCTTCCAAAAATTGAAACTTTTACAGGGCATGCTTTTCGTCGTACTTCCGCAACCTTATTGGTTGACAACGGGGCCGATCTATTGCAACTCAAAAGACTGGGAGGGTGGAAATCGAGCACGGTTGCTGAAGGCTACATAGAGGCATCTTTGGAGAACAAAAGTAAGACTGCTCTGATGCTATCCTCTACTTCCAAAGGTATTCAGTTGTCCAGTGCATCCACAAGTACATCACATGCGGAAACTCATCCGCAAGCGCAAGAGATAATAGTTCCAAACGAAACACAATTCCAACAGGATGGTCTCAAGATTTCCATTATAAACAACAATGCTAATTTAACAATTAATGTAAATAAGTGAATAGATTTAATTAGTTCCATGTAATACATGTGGTTTTATTATTATATGTGAGAGCTGTATGAAAATTATCAATTTGGAACGAGCAGGGAAATGGGGACGGAAAAGCATTTGCCGTCCCGGACGGAAAATGCTTTTCCGTCCTAGGCAGGCATATGCATTACCGTCCCGATAAATGTCAAAGTCCAGAAATGTGACACTTTCAAGATTTTGAAAAACCTGCAATGTCAACATTACATATGTGGTTGAAAATAAAATTTTAAATAATTCTTATAGATGTTTAGTTTTATTATTTAAGTTGATATGCCTTCTCGATGATAACTTTATTCTGGATAATAATGTATTTTTTGATTTGATTTGATTTCATTAAACCAAATCAATTTATTCCCTTGTTGTGATTCCCATTTTTTGTGACTAAAACATGAGCTCTCCAGGATGAATCGTTTCTTTCCATAATACCAACAACAGTATCCTCACAAAGTACAGATATTGAAATAGTAATACTCTTATCATACATTTCAGAACCACTCAAAGTTTGTCTTTCGAATATTTGTTAGCGAGATAAAAGTGTACTATAAGCTGTATTCGATGCCCTTTTCACAAAGCTACTAATTTCAATTATAAGTTGATTGTCGTTTGGTATCCGAGAAATGCATAATTTATAAGGATATGACATAATAGCTGCTTTTTTTTTCTGCACATTGTCTTATCTTAGCTAACTTGGAAATTCTTAGCTGAGCTGAGTTGTAGTTCAAACGTACACATTAGATGGACGAAGGATTCTAACCTTGAATAAACATAACCTCAGGTAAGAAATTGAACTAAGGATGGAATCCGGCATCTTTGGCATAGGCAAGGGTAATTTCGGCTAACATAAACTTACCTAAGATGCTAGAAAAAACAGTCCTTTATTTTAGAACAACTTAGGTTAGCTAAGATAGGTGTTAGAAAAAAAGCAGCTAATGATGAATTTCTTTGTTAGTATAAATTTCTCACGAAAATACAATATTATTTTGTTTTAGGCTACTGGCCGTTGGGACCTCTGGTCTGCGACACGTGGCTTGCCCTGGACTACCTCGCCAGCAATGCTTCAGTATTGAATCTCCTCATTATCAGTTTCGATCGTTATTTTTCAGTAACAAGGCCACTTACTTATCGTGCCAAACGGACCAATAAAAAGGCTGCATTTATGATAGGGTAAGAAACGTCGATCGAGAATTTAGCTGGATTTATAAACTTGAAGTTGAGGTACATTTTCAATATTTAGATTTTCGGCAGCTTTCTTATATGTGAGCTTTGAGCCTGCACACTATAACGTGATATACTACATACATATATAAATTTTTGTGCAAAAGTTCAATTATCATTTATATACATTTTGAAGTGAGAACAATTCTTTAACTTCAAGTTCATAAAGCAAGCTTTGTCCAGAATATAATAACATACAAATTGAATCTTCAGGAGTGCATGGGGTATAAGTTTACTTTTATGGCCTCCGTGGATCTACAGTTGGCCCTACATCGAGGGACAGCGCACGGTGCCGGACAACGAGTGCTATATCCAGTTCATCGAAACTAATCATTATATTACTTTTGGTACGGCTATTGCGGCATTCTACATTCCAGTTTCGGTTATGGTTTTTTTATATTGGCGAATATGGAGGGAAACGGAGAAGAGACAGAAAGACTTACCGAATCTGCAAGCTGGAAAAAAAGATAACAGTAAACGAAGCAATTCGAGGTAAGATTGTCTTTATAGATTTCTTTACTACTAGTATTTTAGTGCGTGATGTGTGATTTTTCTATTGAATGTACTAGAAGCACAATAAAAATGATGAGAGCTTTTTTTCTTTGATAAAAGCTCCGATCGCCTATGATTAAATTAGCACCGGTCTACTAGAGCCTGAGCATCTAATCAGGCATTTTGGCTTTCAGGCGTGAGAGAGTGGCAGATTGATGCACTTATAGATCTTTGAGTGTTTGCTTTGTGATTGGATTTGCTACGGGCTTAATGGTGCTAAACCTATTAGAGATTGAGAAAGAAAACTTTTGCAGAAATCCTATCAAAGAAAAAGCTCTCTTTATTTCAGGTGACACTAATTTTTTGCTAGTTTATTTCGATTGAAAATATTTAAACTTATAATGCGTTAAAATATTTTCAATTCCTTGCCTCTTGTTGCTTTTTATTATTTGAAAAATTCTTGTTCGCACCACACTAAGGACTTTTGGTAGCTTGCACATTTAGAAAAATAAAAAAAAAACAGGTTAACGCTTTCTAGGTAGAGAAGCACATTTGTTAGACGTTCGATGTTCTAAATGTGAAAACTAACCCTTTTATTAGCTAATCACGTGTATACAGTGTATTCGTGTGCAGCGACGAAGCTACCAACGTTTGTTCCACGGTGGACATGGACGAATGGAGACGACCGAGGTCGGAGTCTTCGACATGTGCCGATGCGGATTCTGCTTATATTCATGGCGTGGATCCTTATAGACGGAAAAGATCGGTAAGAACTTTTGATATACATGGTTTTGAATAGAAAAACCGAAAAGGTAAGCCATAATCTGCTGTTTTTTTTTTTTTTGTAAAAAATGGCAAACATCTAACAACCAAGTGGCGACTCCTCAATTTATGCATATAAATTACCAAATCATCAGATAAGTTGCCAGGAATTTGATTTTTTTTTCATGCGGTTACTTCAAAAATAAATAGCTTTTACGAATCTATTTTGACTTTGTCCAGTCAATGCATGAAGCTAGCTTTTGTTCGGTTTTATTTCTTCATCGATGGTAGACTACTCGAAACAGTTTAAAATTTAAAAATGTCATTCGATAGAATCTTGTGTTATATGGCATTTTATACCGGCAACCAGCAACCTAAAACTGCAATAAATATTTCAAAAATCTTAAGCCAACAGCAAAAATTCCAATGGATATCGTTTCGACTCGATAAAGCAATAAAATAAATCATAAAAATGCTTAATAAACAAAACATCAATACGAACACAAAACTAATAAATTTCGAACAAATTGCGCCAATGTTACGGTGTCACATAAATTTCCAAAAAATAACTCGAAGCATAAAACTGTTTTAAATATGCAACGAGTATCGATTTTGTGACTTTAACACTTACTATCATATTTTTTGTTGAATAGCTGAAATCTAAACACGAAACGCTCAAACGTAACAAACTTATATATTCCATCGAATGGGAAACACATACCATACATCAGGCGGAAGCTGTCACGTTATATTGACTATCTATACGAACCTATACAGAAGAAGAATATGCTTTGTTGTCTTATTAGAACATTTTGGTTTGTTGCCGGTTTATTGGCAAACAGACGTTTATATTATATAGAGTTTTATTAATAGCATCCATAGAATTTCGATTATGTAATGACAATCATATACCAGATAATAATGTAGAATACTGATGAAACGTAACTGAAAGAGAAGTTGAGCTGAAAATTAAAAACAGAAAAGCTCAAGAGTAAAGAACAGCCCTGATAAACTTTTTAAATATGATGGCCAGGAACCAACCCAGAGCAATATATACTAAGTTATTCTGCCGTGTCTAGACCAGAAAAAAAAAATAATTTAAAAAAATAAAAATCTCGCAATTCGAGAAATGTTCATTGCTCTTCTCATGAATTATTGGAGCTCAATTCTGATGAATCTGATGACAATTATCCAATTTCTCTGGTATTCCCGTACTTTTTTACATGCAGTTGAATGGTCTCTCAAGGGTTAATAAGATAGGCAATTCTCCATTTTCAGCTGTCTTCTCCTAAAGATTTGTCGTTTTTCTAGATCATTAATTGCCTTTTCAATCTCAAATTCTTCTATATCTGGTAGGTATGTCTACAGCTGAAAAGGTCGCGATATGAGATTTCCACAATTGAAGCAATTTTCTTCTTATCACATTTTGTGCCATCTTCATGGTATAGTTAGTTAGCACCAAGTCTTGGTTTGTAGCAATTGAGACGTTTATTCTCTTCCACGACTCTTCGTAGTTTTTCTTCATACCATCTCTGAGATATTTTGTTTTTCTCGTTCCCTATCCCAGCCCTTAGAAGACTTCTTATTTTTTTTTTCCTTGTGCCTCGTCCTTAAAACTCTCTTGCTCCAAATTGAAACTTTTTGGGAATTAAACTTTCCTTTTGTGAACGGGGTTTTGATAATAATTCGATATATTAAAAGCTGCTCAGGGGGGTTAACCCGCTCGCAAGGATTACCAATCTCGACGTACGGAAAGGGATCTAGGATCAGTTCACTCTTATACGGAAAGTGATCGGGTTGTTCAGTTCAGTATCATATCTCTGGATCTCATTGACACTGATAAAATACAGGGTAAATAGAATTGGTAGCCGTCAGCTGTTTTTCTTAACTCAACTTTTCAGTTGCTTGTTGATTGTTTTGCCTTTAAAATAAATGTGGCAGACATGTTCAACAGCAGAAAGCCAAGAAAATTAAAGTTTGAGAACTTGAGATTAAAATTAAAATCGGAAAATCAAAATTATATTTGTTGAGGTTAGGATTGTTGGGAGGTGTCATTTGGTAAGATCTCAGGGTAAGATTCATCTGAGGATCTATGCGTTAGGGAAATTCTTTTAGATAGTTTACTCATCCTCAAACAGCTGAAACGGATCGAATTGATTCTAGATCAGTGTTTCCGTAAGATGGAAGACACAATGACAAATACAAGGTACAAGTGAAAAAAGACAAAAATATAATAACACGTGTATCAATGCTATAGCACAGAATAAATGGATACAGCATGTTTTGTATTTTGTCACAAATAACACTCGTTATTTAAACTTTAAGATAAGAGAACCTAGGGTCGTGGAATTCAAAAAATTAAGATAACGTGTAGCCCCTGTAAGTAACAGTCAATGTTACTTTCTTCATAATTTGACAGTTGACAGCTTGGTTGTTCTGGTGAATCTGATACAATGTACCTTTCCAATCCGGAGCTTTTCAATGGATGTTGGAGTTTCACTTTTGTGAACTGGAGCTATTCGGGTTGTTTCCTGTATCCAAGAAAGAGGATAGATTGCTGGGGTGACGTTACTCCAGCTGATCCAGACTCCAAACAGTGATCTTTATGTCGAGTAGTTACCCAGAAAAGAAAAAGGCAGAATCAGGTTCACCAAGATTTGGAATATTAAATCCCTAAATTCTGTCAAAAAGAGAGAGTGTCTTGCAAAGAAAATTTAAATTGAAATTTAATATAAGACTATTGTTGTGCTGACACTTCTTTCCTACAGAATCAGGTGAGTATGAGCGACTATTTTAAATTGGAGAAATATTTTAATTAAAAAAAAATACATTTAAATAATTGAAAAATAATCATAAAAATAAATAATTACAGCAAGATTAAATGAAAATGTTACAAGTTGAGCAGAATGCTGCTTTTCTTATAGCAGGCAAGAATAAGAACAAAATCAGATAAAAAATATAAGAAATTAAATCTCTAGATTCTCCCCCAAATAGACATAATTTTCCTTTTAAGTTAAGGTAGCCACCATAACTACTACAAGATAAACCTGAGGGTGAAATCAATCAAATCCAGAATGTGTCAAAATTCTTGAGATGTTTTAATTGAATTTTTTTTGACCTGTGTGGATTTCTATTTTAGAAAATCACACCCTTTTTCGACACTCTTCGAGAAGATAATAATTGAAGGAGTCAAACAGAAAATGGCTATACAGGCCTCTGCCTGAATTCAATAAAAAGTTGATAAGGATGGACACAAATTTGGTTTTCACCGACTCTATTTAGAGCAAATGGTCCAATATTCCCACACTAACAATTGATTCTGAAAACCAGAGCAGCAGTACCTATTTATTAGCCCAAAAATCTGAATTGACTTACCTCAGAAAACGTGGAACCACCAATCATACAAAATAGAGGCCCACAAAATTAAAAAAATTAAAATATAATCCGCAGAAAAATTATCGCATCACTCATATTTCTAAATATTTTAGCCATGTACTTTTTTAAAAACCTTTTTAATTTATATTGCAACTTTGTAATTACATAAATCATTAATAAAATTTCTCATTTTAGAATCAATATGTACAGGGTGAATAAGGAATATCAAAAACGGGTATATTAGAATTTACAAAAATTAAATTTCGAAAAATGTGAATTTTTTTGAAAAATACAGTTTTCTTAGTATCTTGTATTACCCCCTCTTGCCCTTATCACAGCTTCCATTCGCCTTGGTAAGCCTTCAAACAACCTATGTATGTATTCTTGCTCCATGTTGTTCCATATTTCGTTTATTGCATCTTGAAGTTCATTAAGGGTTCTGAATGGAGCTTGACGGTGCTGGATCGCCCAACCTAAGTGGTCCCATACGTGCTCTATCGGATTAAGGTCTGGGCTGCGAGCTGGCCAATTTAATGTAGCAATATTCACCTCCTCAAGATATTCCTGCAGCGTGCGGTCTGGCGTTATCGTGCATTAGCACAAAATGTTCGCCCATAAAAGGGCCGTATGGAACCACATGAGGTTCTAGGATATCCCTTATGTATGGATCAGCCATCATCCTACCACCATTAACAGCTACTAACTCCGTTCGCCCATGAAAAGATATTCTTCCCCATACCATTATTGACCCACCTCCAAAACTTTCCCTTTCACGAAAGTTGCATTGGTGATATCGCTCGCCTGATCTTAGGTATACTGGCATACGTCTGTCTGAAGAGAACAAACAAAATCTAGATTCGTCTGTGAAGAGGATATTGGACCATTCTTCTAGACCCCATCCAGCATGGTCTCTAGCAAATTGTAAACGGCAAACTCGATGTTCTCTGGTAAGACGCGAGCCATTGACTGGAACCCTTGCACGTATATCATGCTCTCGAAGACGATTACGTACGGTCTGTACGCAAATCTGAACATTTCGGGCAGCCAAAAGTTCATTTTGGAGCATTCGGGCAGTGCAGTGTCGTGTTCTTAGGACTGAAAGTCGTAAAAAACGATCATCTAGAGCTGTTGTAACTCCCGGACGACCTTGGCCTTCTCTTCTAGACTACCGTCCAGTCTCCGTATGCCTTTGAACAACTCTTGAAATGGTACTCTGCTGTACGCCCAATAAATTCGCCACGTACCTTTGACTTCGCCCATCTTCAATCAGGGCAATTACTCTGACAGCCTCTTCATCGGTCAAATGGCGAGTTAAACGTTGTGGATCAGCCATAGTATACACCTCTATCGTACAACTTAATATCAAAAGCAGAAAACATAGAAATGAACAGCATAATTGCAAATTGGAATGTATGCCTATCCGCATTTGCTCGAAAAAAAGTAAATAAGAACCTAACAAAAGAATAAACGACATGTTTTTTGACTCGAGTTTATCAGTTAAAGAATGCCCATTCAAGGAATAATTGAGAAATTTTAAAAATAAATTTACTGTAGCCAAAACATTTAAAAGCATTGGTAATGCGATAATTTTTGTGCGGTGTGTATTTATATTTCAAAAATAGATAAGAT